TGAGTCTTTTGAGTCTTTGGGGGCCTGTAGAAGTTAGCATTTTCGGGGCTATATATAAATATAATATGTCTATCTTTATATATATATTGTATTTATATATACATATTTATTTAAATGAATTTGTATTAAAAAAAAAATATATATATATATAAACAAGAAAAAAATATTCAGATCTATATGCATACATTGCAGAAGCAAAACATAAATGAAGAGGTGAAGCTGGCTACACGTATCCATATGTAGTACAGATATACAGGCTTGAAGATACATAGATGCGATTATATATATTATATATATGCACATAATTACACACATGTGTAAGTATTTAGAAACCAGCCATAAACCCAACATGTTTGGATAGAGATAACAAGCGTACATAGATATTTAAGTATTTAAACAAATACAGAAATAAAAGCAATACATATATATATATATATCTACATATATTTTTTGTTACGAGATACACTGGTAGATTTAATGCATTTAGATATACAGATATATTTACACACAGTTATGTCAGTATATATTTCATAACAATATGTACGATATATGGATCTAAAAATTTCAAAAGATTTAAACATATTTTTAAACGATCATATGTAAATATCTATAGACATGTAGATATAGAGACATAGGAAGCTTTGAATGTTAGGGCCGTCCTACCGCATTTAAAACGAGCCAAGATGAAACTTTGCAAACGCAGGTGCGCTCCTCTGCAGAATCTGAGAGAAGGCTCAAGGTGTAGTTTGTTGGACGGTGGACCTGCGCAGGCACGCAGACACGTTCCGACAAGATTTTGGTTGACACTCTGGCGAACGATTTATTTGCTATCTTGAAATGCCAAACACAGGACCGTGTCAGGCTTGCAATACTTCATGCACGAACAAGACATGCCAAGGACGAAAAGAATAATTCGTGAAGACTTGCTAGAATGGGCGTCGGCCTTGCCTCGACAGCAACTTCCAACCAGAATCCACCGGCATGTTGCCTGCACGTCACTCACCTTTACAAATCGCACACACCCACACACACACACACGGACGGATGTATGGGTGTGCCGCGGGCACGCACACTCTGGCACAGCAAAAGCGGCTGCGACGGGCGACTGACAGGACTGACGAATACAAGAAGGAAGGCAAGGTTCAGATTGTGGTGACCGTGCAAATCGGCGTCCAAAACCTCATCAATGGTGCAACACCACGTGCTGGACGCCTTGCAGAATCGTTGCACGTCATGTTACACATCACCATGTCCAGGAATCCAGATGTGCGCACACGCACACACACACAGACAGACAGACAGACACACACACACACACTTACTTCAGCTCGGCACGAATGATTGCGATGGACGACCGACAGGACAAAACACAGACAGACTGGAAGTATGCTTCAGATTGTGGCAACCGTGCATTCAGCGCGTCATGACGGAACCAATGCACAGCAATTGTAATGTGCTAGGTCACAAACGGCAGGTACACAGTGCTGATCAGCCACTCACTCCAGTGACGTGGTTTCGTTGGGCAAGGCTTGTCACTGGAGACCTTGCCCTCCTGCAGCAAAATTTCGGTCTGGAACCAGGCAACAAAAAACGAGAAGCAACCCAACGAATCGCGGAGAACTCAGTGCAACTGCACAGCACTCATGTGTCAATACAACATGTAACTGTTCAACCACTCGCGCAGAATCTCTCACTGCCTGAATCCTGCCTGCATTGTGTTGCCTGACCCCAAACCCTTTATTACGGAAACAATGGACAGCTACTAAATCACAAACAGCAAGTACACAGTGCTGATCAGCCACTGCATCCATTCCAGTGACTTGGCTTCGTTGGGCAAGGCTCGTCACTGGAGCCCTTGCCCCCATGCAACAAAATTTCGGTCTCACCCGGAGGAGCCAGCCTAGAACCCCCTCCCTGTGGCGATCACGCCTGCTGCGGTACAGGGCAGGCAAGGCTGCAAAACTGGACGGTGGAAACTGGACACCAACGGCCTGAAAAAAAATGCACGGGAGGATAAGGAATTGCTGGCGCCAGGAACGCGCCACACGGGCCAAAGCAAGCGCCCGTTCGGGAGTCTTACAACATGCTGCACAGGAGTGGGCAAGCTCGAGCAACCTTTGCTGCCGAAACAAGATTCCTGCAACAGAGACAAATGGCTTAGAACATTACCGGGGCAACAAACAACACGAGAAACAACCAGAAACACAACACACTCGGAGAAATCACAAGCGCTTGCAAGGCACTCATGTGCCAACGTGACATGTGACTGTTCGCCCACTCGCACGATTTCCCTTGCTGCCTGAAACCTGCATGCGCTGAGTTGAACCCAACCCTTTCCGAAGCACCAGCAAACTACACTCTGATGTTGGCACGTTCAGCACAGCTCCCTGCGTTTGCAACGCTGGTGATCCCGATTTGCACCCTGGGCACATGTCACCCTGGTGCAATGATCCCGATGGATGGTGGGTTTAAGAATGGCAGCGTTGGCGCTATCATCCACTATAACGGGTTTCAGCTTTCGCCCGCTATGATCTGGCTCCGTGTCAGCTCGTCATGAATGACTGCGGTGAGCGACCGACAGGACCAAACGACGACAGATTGTGGCAACCATACAGAATCACAGAGGCCAATTGTGGAAACATTTGGGCTGGCCTTTTCGCAGGTACACCAAGCTGATCAGGCTTGGCTTCCCTCTCTGATGCACAGCTTCGTTGGGTACGGTAGCATCAGAAGGCCGTACCCCCTGCGGTATCTCTTACGGTCTCACTCAATGGTCGCCATGTACATGCCTGAAATTGCCTGAACATGTACTTGCTGCCAAGGCTTACACTCAGCGCTATGCACTTTCACCTTCGCCTCGCTGTGTTTCGTTGGTTGTGCTCCGAAGTGCTTGTGTTCGCAGCAAGCGCAAACGCAACTAACATTCCAACCACTCTGTTTGTTCGATATTTACCAGCCTGTGCAGCTGCATTCTATGACATCAACAAGAGACCTGCCCGGAAGAATAGTCAGTGTCATAGCTTCAGCTAAATAACTTTGGACTCCCAATTTCTGATGTTCTCGATGTTGACTCAACAAGCCTGACCACAACGACTTCCACAACTCCGACATTTCACTTTGTTTAAAAGTTGCGACTGCCGCCAAACATGCAGGAATGGCCCAGACATGTCTTGCAAGTTGATGTACAGCTGCAGAACTCTCTCCTTCGAAGCTGTATCGTTCGACCTGAAACCGTCGCAGCTCGACTTAACGCAGGTCCTGCATCACCTCTTGCGATTGGAACCAGACAGGCTCACCTGCGAGGTCGGCTAGTGGACATCGTTAAGGCCATCATATCCTTCGCGGTACGGCACCTGTACGACGAGCGGAGAGCTTCGCACCCGTCAGCTGCCCCGCACCTGCCACATGTGGGACAAGTGCAAGCTCAAGCAATCTCGGTGGAATATCAAAACAATTGAGCAGGCAGCCGAGAGGGGTGAGAAAAATCCGCAGCGACCCAGATGAAAAGCGAGTGTAATGCCGGTACCTGAAGACCCATACAACAGGATACATCTTTCCTGGGTCTCGCACGAGGGCACATGCGATGAAGCTTGGGTCCAGAAGAACAGCAGGGTGGAGCGAGCCTTGCATGGGACAAAGTGCCGAAGCAATGTCATGTACAGCGCAAGTAAGGGCAGGTCGAATCCACGACCACGGTCTGCTCCTCACACCGCCACATCTGCAGCAGGCACTGCCATCTGCAAGCTCCACCTCTGGTAGTGTAACCACGTCGTCTAGGATCACATGCAGCACGAACTCCTGCGAGAGAATGTGCGACGAAGTGCGATCCGATGATATTTCTGCAGTCTGCTCTCCGACGTGTTGGCGGACCAGCTGCCAGGCCTCCGTCGCATGCGCCATTCGTGGATTCGTGCAAATCATCAGTAACTCATCATTAGTTTGTCTTATTTGCGCACATCTGCTTCAAAAGCTCTTGCTCTCTGACCTGGGCTTTGCCCTGCATCCAGTCTTTCTCTCTCGCATCGTGCTGCAAACTCCTAAACCTGTTCTGCTTCTTTGCAGCATTAGTCTGTGATCACAGGTGTGTAGCAAATCACAGAACCCAGCCCCGAGGGCAGCAGCGCATAAAGCACCAAGGCTTGCTGTTCAATGATGCAAACAATGTGAGCATCGGCACCAAGACCCTGCACGGCTGCCATCACTTCGGCAAGCCTCTTGAGGGAAAGGTGGAGCCCAATCGGGCCAGCTGGCGATTTGACACCCTTGCCATCCATAATGAGAGACAACCCTGGAAATGTCGTCGCAACCTCGACAAGGTCTGAACCGGCCTTCAACCGCAGCCAACTCCACTCTCGAGTGCTTGTCACACCCTCAGGGGAAGCCACTCTGGGCTGAGCTTCTTTCGCTGCCTCCACTGTCACAGTCTGAGCTCCAACTTGGCGCATGCGCTCCAGGACGTTGCGGAGCCGGCTCACCGAACCAGGTAAGTCGATTTGGTACTCGGGCTCCGGCAACGCAGGCTCACGAATAAGTTCAGCTTCAGCTTCGGGAATTACCCGAACTGGCACCTCAAGTTCGACTCTGTGGTCAGCTGCATTGCCAGCCAGCACGAAGTCAAAGTTCAAGACAGGTCTCCCATCATTCATTCCGTTTGCTAGCCGCAAGGTCGTGTAATCACTATTCACACAGCTAGTGAAAACGTGCAGGAGGTTGGCAATGGGAACCTCCAGGTCAATCTTGTTGTCTCTCTTAGACTCAATCCGGTACTCTTTGAAAAGGCTTTTGACCTGAAAGTGGCTCCAGGTCTGAGACCCTTCCTCTGCACCCCCTTTGTGACAGAACGCAAAAGCCTCAGGAGTTAACTTTAAGACCACGCTGGGGCAGCCTTTCGTTCGCCTCTCGCTCCGCTGCAAACGATGCAACGCCTGCAGGACTTTAAGCACGGTCTCCTGCAAGGAGGGCTGCCCATGACTGATGGCAGCGATGGTGGCTTTGAATTTCATGGCCGTCAAACTGCAGCACTGCTGGATTGCTCTCACCATAAGCATTCGTCTAGACTTCATGCCCCGTTGATCACCGCTGCCAATGTTCCTAGAAGCCTGCGATTCCGTCAAATGCATTTGTCGAGCGTGCCACACACTCTACCATTGATCTGCAGCCGCAGCACGATACAGGGGTGAACAGGTCTTGATGAGGCTCATGAAGCTAGCAACTTGCCCTGAAACATATCCGTGCACGCCGAGCTGCGAAAGTCCCAGCAAACCCACCCTCAGTCACTTGTGTGGCCAGACAATTAAATGGCCCGTCCAGGTTTTGCAGCATCGGGTCTGTCAGTCTCAGCTTTCTGCTCCAAAGATGCACCAGGGTTCTCCGAGGGGATGTCGATGGCCTGAAGAAAGTGTTCTGCCATATGCCGGCGCTGATCGATGCACACAAGCTTCGGGCAGCTAAGCTTGCACCCACGCCCCTGGATGCATTGGCCACTGCTGCATATGAGCATCCTTACAGGCAGCATTCTGAGCAACAGGGTTGCCGTCCCATGACAAGCACTCTGCCCGAGCCGGGCGGTGGGGAGTTGCTGTGTTGGACGAATTTGGACGACGACACACTTCGCTTGATGCTGTCCCATGCTGGCAACCATGGACTTTGTACAAACCTCTTGTAAAGTTCACACAAACGGCCCCCAGTTAAGCGGTGCCACACTGTCCGGGTGGCTGCAACCGTTGCGAGAGGATCGTGAAGGCAGCTGTTGTGAAAAGATTGGAAGCAGTGCCAAAGCGCTCGAACGCCTACTAGAAATTGAAGAAGAACCTCACTGCCGGGGATGAACAAAGAACCTCAGATCGTGGCCCAGGTTCTCCTTCCAGCCACGCGGCGAGCCTGGCACCACTGCACTGGTGTGAGAGAACTCCGCACTGGCAGCACCAGGCAGTATAAGACAACACTCGGCTGCAGGACCGGACAGGGAAAGACAATCCACATTGTTCGCTCCTTCCCCGCTGTGCTTTGAGGTGTGGTTTTCTAACTGAGATGGCCTGGCAACTTTGCAATAGTTCCAGGATGGCACTCGTGTCACGATTGGGTTTCACAAAGCGCCACTGTATTTTGCAGGAAGGGCTCCCGGGGCTCCCGGCAGAATTCAGGCAGAGGTTCCATCTTCGTCTTGCAGTTTCTCAAAGGCCCCACCCTTAGAACCACCATTTACGAAGCCAGGTCCCCACATGCCCACCAGCTCCAAGGATAGCACTGAGCGAAAGTGCATGTCAAACATGCTGCCCAGACGGTTTCTGAGCCGCTGCAGCAGGCCCCAGGCTTGGCCCAAGGCTTCCAACCTTGCAAAAAACATGGTGCTGCAGCTGGGCGCAGTGTTGTGCATCTGAATCGCAATGAATCACACTTGAACAAGGACGTACTACAGCCACACATACCCAACAACCACTTCTCACCATCACATGATACGAGATTTGGCGCTGCACGATAGCATGGCAGCCCAGCTAGGTAGTGACCCCTGACGATAATATGCAGCATGAACATTCGCAGGGAGAGGCATGGGTAAAACATGCCTGCCTGTGGATCGTGTAGAGGTCTCGAGCGCCGCCCAAGTGTCACTAGTCGGTCTTGCAATGCCTGCAGCCTGCACCCTGCTCAAAAATCAGTACGCTCATGCTGGAGAAGGGGTGTCGGTCCCCGCCGTTACAGAGCTGAACCCGTTTCAAGCTCAACCCTGAAATAGAGCAGAGCATAGCAGAGCCTAGGTGTGGTGAAGGTGCCGTGAAATCTTTGGAGGTGGTCTCGGAGGAGGAGCTAGGTCCAGCTAGGTAGGTCTAAAACTCGAGATCGGAGTCCAACACTGTCGGAAAGTCCGTTGTGGACTGTTGATTTCAAGCAGAAACCATTTGAAAGACTGCATTTGCACGTCAGTTACTATATCGCAGAAACGGGGCCGTAGTCACAACCCGGTCCCCAGCTGGCCCAGGCAAGGTCACGCACAGACAGTTTGCGTTTGGAGCTGGTTTTTGAACTCCTTCGCAATGCTGCTACTGGATTTCCATTAAGAACCTAGTAAGTTCTCCAGGAGCAGGGTCATTTGCTAGTTTTCCAGAAGTTTTCCACAAACCTGGCCGTAGAAAGCGTGCGCAGCAAGTTTGCCCAGGTCTGTATGCAACTCTTTTGCGACTGTTTTGCTGCCGGTGTAGCCACGGGCATACAGCAACATGCAACTAGACTGTACTGTAGTATCAGGGGAGATAGAGCAAGCAGTGGCAACGGGACTCAGAACAACTGGTGCCTGCTCACGCATGGGGTACCTGAACAGCTGGTTCCGGCTGCCAAAACGAGAGAAAAGGAGTGCGACAGTTTCCGCGGCCGATGTCGACTTTGCGAACGTCGACTATCTTGACATGAACAAGTTGCCGATGTTCTAAAAAGGAGCCCTGAAACTTCAATTCCGACTCAATTCCGACCCCACCACCAATCATATCTCCGACCTCGACGAAGCTGCCTTGAAATAGTTCAGAGCCTCACCCCCGAACCCCCCAACGCCACCCCATCTCAAGCCATGAGGGGGATACATCAAACTGTTTCCCTCATCCCAAGACTACTAACAATCCGGATGAATGAAGAAGCAAACGGACAGTCCATCGCGCCCTGTTGGTGCCAAAACGTTTAGCTCTGTCAGGTTCTAAAGTTGCGTATTCCACTGCGCAGGCTTGAGGTGTCAGCGTTCCGAGTCTGTTTTTTGCTAGGACCGCAACCTTTTTTGCTTTGCCTCCTTGCCTGGCCTGTCTGCTCTGGTCTTACCAAGTCACAAGAGCAGATGGCTGGGGGAATCCTCCAAGTGCACAAGACTCCCCTGCAGAACAACAAAAACAAATTGAAAAGCACGAACGTAGAGCACTTCAAGACTCAAGAGTACTTGTAAAGGGAGCGGCGATGACACTCCTCTCATGCCCTACAGTGTTTGGTGCGCACCATATGAACCTACTCGACTCGTGCCTTCTCCTTGTTCTCTTCGATCGAACGCAGAGGCCGAAGGATCCAGCCTCTGCGGCCCAGCAGAGGGAGAATCAATCGCAACCTGCTGAAGGCTGCCGCCAGGATTCGGCAGGTACAACTGCTGAAGGCCATGAACATAGGGCTTTGCTGCTGAACAGAAGCCTTTGGTTTTGCATCGCATGGATGTAGTTACTGCACTGACGATGATGCGCTCGGTTCTGGGAGCCTGAGTCTGAGAGTCATGATTGAAGCAGCTCCCGACGTCTGAAGAAAGCGCACGATTGTAGTTTCCTCTGACTGTATCTGTGCGATGCTGCGTTTGGCTGAAACTAGTTATACTAGTTGATTTCTGGGCCGTGCACCACAGCCTCCGCTCGAACGGCGACGGGCTGATCATCCTTGAAGCGGTCTAGCCCTCACATGGCTTGGTTCCCTCGAGATCTCTCTTGTGCTGCTGCGACAGCCACAGCCGCCAACAACAACACACTGGCTCGGGCCCCAGCATTCCGGAACTCATTCAATGCAAACCAACGCAAGAATCCTGGTGAAAGATGTCCCCGCTCAGGAATCCCGTCCTCTCGCAACTTTGCGTTTGCAAACAAGCATGAGGTGGCAAACCAATGCAAGCAAGGCCTTCAGCTTCACTGCATCATCGCCCCACCGAATCTGGAGCATTCACATGCTTGAAGCAAATCTTTGGACATTTCCAGAAGGGAATCTGAGGCCGAGGCACGCAACGAGTATGCGGCCAAGCTGTCGCTAGTGACGGCAAGGAAGATCCAGCCAGCCCTGGCATTGTTGTAGCCCAGCTACTTTCTGTCCGGACTCTTAGAACCGCGCCCTGCTTGAAAGAATCTACGGCACGGAATGCCAAACCCGCAAGCCCCCCGCACCGCCAACAATTCCATGCCCTAAAAACACACTCTGCCCCAAAGCCTTAACAGCATCTGACGAGTCCAAAACGCTGGGCGACATTGGTGCTCTGGTTCGTATGCATTGGGAACTCAGCTTGACAACCTGGATGCTCTCGTTGAGATGATTGGGGATCGAAGAGTCCTAGGGTAGGATAAGATTGGCAGCATGAATGCGTGCTTGTTGAATGAAGGGCTACCACCACGAGAAAAACGCTGCTCAGGCTGCTAGGAACCACCCGACGCTCTTGAGGTTGACAGTAGAAAAGTTCTCGTGACATGCAGTACCATTAGGAACCATCGTCATTGACGCAAGGGAGTGTGGTCAAGAAACGCCGCACGAATGTGGATTTCGCATGCAGCCCTTGGACACCTGTGAATGACATGGTTGGGGGGGAGGGGGCCGGATGGCACATTACCAAACCGTTTCTGTCATGTTGAAATACTAGAACCATATCTGCTCAGAAGACCAGGTCTTACAGAATCACATCTCTACAAGCCGCAACCCAAACTCCAAGACCCCTGCCACGCCGCAGCCAATTCGATGCACTACACCATTGTTGCAACACACAAACTCTACACAAGCGACCCAAGCCTTGGAAACCCAGCTAAAACCTTAAATCCGGGCGAACCCCACACCTATATCCTCATGCCCAAACACCCGGCACACACATGCACACACCCGCTGGCCCGAAAAACCTCCACAGAAACCATAAATCACACGAACTAAGCCGATCGAAACTCCCGCACTCTGCTGCACATTGCCGAGCGCAAAACTCCGCTCAATCCACGTGCAACCACAAGATACCATAAGTCAATCAAAACCAAGCCCCACACACGCACGCACGCACACACACACACACTCACTTGTACACCAGTCATCCTTACCTAGATGGATGCTGTTTGTGCTAGTTCATTACATCGCGTCCTTTCTTTGTTCTGGCTTTGGTGTCAATCTAGATTTAGATACTCCAGTGCCACAGGGGGCCCACTGGCTAATCCGAAAGCAGGTACACAATCTGGCGTCCCAGATCGCTTCACAGCACTTCTACCACCGTCTTCGTTGGGCAATGGATGGTAGAAGGCTCACTGCCCCCCGGCAATTGACTAGCTGCTTAGAAACTGCTCAAACATTACTTCCTTGCAGGATTTGCACACACACACACAAAACCGGCAATAGCCGGTAGGGCTCATGAACCATGTACAAGCTGCACTCAGTTTTTCGGATGATACTTTGCAGGTGTACCATTCATGGGTGAAACAAATTACGACTGCATGTCCACATCAGCATTTGCACTGTAAATCTCAGAGGGATCTCGAAAGCCAAGCTGAGTGATGATGACTTGAATTGGCTCATTAACTGCGAAACTCGTCAGCGGCTCCCAGAATCTGATGTGACGATGATTTTGCACCAGTTGAAAGGTGCTTGGCGGGCGCCATATTCCGGAGTGCTCATGTACATGTGCATTGATGGAACGCTTGAGCAGGTCTGCATTGTCATCCGACATCAAGGTTATCTGCAGAACTGACGGCACTCGATTGGGCACAGCAGAAGATGATGATGAACCCGACGCTGTATTCCCTGACGTGATGAAGCTGTCGGGAACGTGAACCTGGAAATGTAGCTGGCTGCTGGTAGTAGCAAGTTGCGCTGAGTCTGCGGAGCGTTTGGTCATGGCTCTGGATGAAAGACCGGCAATTACAAGAAAGCTCAACAGATAGCGGCTGCAGGCTGACTTCAAACTACAGATCGAAACCTCGGCATTGCACTATGTTCAGAAGGGTCTTTTCCAGAGCAAAACACCAAGCTGCGAAACTGGGGTGAAACGAACTATGATGAGTGAAACTCAGGTTGAGTAGCTGCAATCTGTGTAGAGCTGAAAGAAGGTGGACTGTCGAAATGGCGTAACACGTCGTTCATTGCTTGGTTAACGGTTTGGCGAAGCAGGCTGAGTTGTTGAAACAACTCTGCAATAGTGTTTGCAATTTCAGCTACTTGTTCAGAAATTTCTGACTGTTGTTGACCAAGATCACGTATCTGCACTTGGAGAGAATCGAGCTGAGCTTGCTGAATACGGCGAATCGCTTGTTCCTCGTCACATCGATGTTGTAGTTCGGCCCGAACCTGTCGTAGTTCTGCCTGGGTGTACTGAATCCACCTTTGGAGTGGAAGAAGTGGCTCATGAGCCGATCCAATAGAGCCTGGCTAAGCAATACTAACGAAAAGAGCCGAAAACTTGCTGAATTAACGTTGTTGGGTGTGAAAAGAGTGAAACTACAGATGATGATACCCAGCAGCTGCAAAGTTCTGGCGTAGTCGAAGTAACTGCTCATCACGAATATGAGGTGGCCAAACATGACTCTCAATATGAATTTTTCACAATGAAAAGCTGCAGTGCGATGTCTTTCAGGACCAGCACTGTTGGGTTCCCGAATCTTCCATAGATCCGGCCGTAATAGTAATTGCAAGCGATGATGGTTAAGTTGTAGATCGAACCCAAGGAGACTCTTCGAGCGCATCAGTACTGGTAACATGCTCAAGTTCCACAGGATGCTGATAAAAGTTGTTGCGAAGAAAATGCTGTAGACGATGATCACCAATAATTTTGTCGGAAACCAATAACCAGGCGATTGTCCACATACCTAGTACAGAAGAACAGAGGCTTGTTGGCATCAAAGAAACTTTGAAGATGACTTACGTAGATCTCTTCTTCAATGGATACTGTAAGTCCGGCAAGCATAGGAGAAATCTGGTTGCCGATAGTAGCTCCTCGAGTCTGTCTGAAGACCTTGTGCATGACGGTAAAAACACCTGCGCCACAACTGAGTTCGCAAATGTGCACGATGTCGGAAAGATGAATAAGAACAGTGCGTTTTGCAGCTTTTCCAGGACGTCCACGCCAAACGCGTAGCTTGGTATCTTGTTCTAGAAGATTGACAGAAAAAGTACTGCTATCCACATCGGACTTCTGCAGCACACTGTACTCATTGACTGCCCATCGAACAGCATTCAGAATGCGAAAAACAGGAATGGAAGTGAAAAAGCCTACGAGATCCTGATTGAAGACGACAGGATGTGCATCGTCAGGAAGCAACTGAAAAAACTGGGTGAGCTGTTGTAGGATGGAAGGGAGTGTATTGAGACCAAACGAACGAGGACATGTGGCACGCATGATGACATCCAAAGCAATCGCTGTAGCACGAAAAAGCTTGGCATACAGAAAATGGATGTATGAAATGATGGGCCTGGCACCTTTGAAGTCTTTCTTCTGTTTTAGAAGTAAATAGGCAATGGGCAAGCTCGAAGTACGAAGGTTGATACCCCACCTGTAGCGACGAAGAAATGGTCGCGAGCAGGTCGCACGTAGAAACTCATCAGCTTGCGAAGATTGCATCGACAGTCGCTCATACACTTGCGTGTCACCAAAAGTCTTCTTGTAAGTCTGCCAAACAAATTGTTGACAGAATGCATGTCCATGAGTGATTGCATGGTCTCGTCCGTGTATAAAAAAGATCTTGTAAAGAGTTCTTGATGAAGACTGCATCTTTGTACTTCAATCTGGTAGATGCTGCATGTTTGTGCTGCGACCACTCTTGCTTCACAAAGGACAAAGGCTTCCCAATCCTCAAATGTAACAGTAAAAATGTTGTGATGAAACAGCCAACGTTGAACGCTGGGCCAGGATGTGTTTAAATAATGATACAGATTCGGGAACAGCTGTGAGTCCATGGAATACTGCAGTAAACGGCAAAGGCGCTTGGAGAAACTGAATTGAGACAATGGCGATGCTATGTGTCCATCAACAATGTGAGCATGAGGATGTCGAAAGCGAAGTTCAGCACAATTGCATGGCGGAGGAAAATCCCACTGCCATTGTTCGACAACAGCTATATTGTTGTAGATGACATCACGCAAGGATCGATGTTTCCCAGCTACAGACTTCTTGTGAGGAAGGTGAAACGGAATCATGTAGTCTTTGGAACTGATGATGATCTCGCTCATCCATTGCTCAACAGCACTTTGACATGATTCATGTGCAAGAACTGGTAAAACTAGAGGCTCGGGGCCACGCGGGATTGCACACTGACGAAATGTAAGAATACGTCGTAGCACAGATCGAACAGCAGTTTGGGGCGGATCATCTAGAAGATTGTAGAGTCGGTACAAAACATATACTTGATGATTGTGAAATTCTGCACTTCTGAGTCCCTTCTCGGCTTGGAAGGCCTTCATGCCCCCATTGGCAATGTTCATTAGCAATAACCAGTTGTCATAAGGCTCCAGCAAGGTGTCCTCATACAACGTAAGAGTCCAAGAGTGTGAAGTTTGCGACGAACTTTAAGCCAAAGCCGTTTGCCGGGACTGCCATAACAAGACTTCATTCACTGTGAATGGTTGAGCAAATCGAGCGGTAGACGTGGGACTGAGGCGAACAATCCAAGGTGCATTCAACGGGGGCTTCCAAGAATGAATAAGCGAACACTCAGAGGCTCTGGCTTGATGCAAAGATTCGAAGCAATGAACAGGAATAAGAACTGCATGAAAAAGATCATCACGAGTATGAAAATAATGTAACATCAATTCGGCATTGCAAAAAGTCCCCACGCCGTAACAGGCGATACTCGCGAAGTCGAGCATCTTGTCTGGAATGAGCTGATACTGAGGTAGATCCTATGTAGAATCTTCCACGCTGTATGAGAGTCCCAAGAATGTGATGCCATCCTCGCTTTTCCATCAAAGGCAGGAGGAGAACA